CCTCTTTCTCCTGTTCAGCTTGTCGGAACAGGAAAGTATAAGCAGTCACCACTCCAGACACTCCTAGGAGGTTTTTATTTCTATTCCTGCAATTTTGGGAGACTACACAAGCCAGGAAAGCGTGAAACCCAACCAGAAGGCAGGAAAGCTGCCTGCTGGGGCCTCTGGACCCCACTCACAGGGACGTTCTAGTGCCTTTCTTCAGGCTGGGCGCGTGCCAGATCCTCTCCCCACCTACGTGACCTCCTCTGTGAACCCCGGGACCATTGCTTACCTGACAGTGGTGCTGTAACCAAGGGAGAGAACTGATTTCATCTTGATTAACAAAGTGGAAACAAAAGCAAGATATGGTTATGTTATTCCACCGGGAATTTTCCTTTCCTGAAATAGCTCCCTACAAACTCCACCTCTTTTTAAAAATACATTTATGTATGTATGTATGTATGAGATAGGGTCTCGCTATGTTGCCCAGGCTGGTCTCGAACTCCTGAGCTCAGACGATCCTCCTGCTTCAGCCTCAGAAAGTGCTGGGATTACAGGGGTGAGCCGCTGCACTAGGCCTACCCCCTACCTCCTTACTCTGATCCAAACCCTCAGCTGAGAAGGAGAGATGTTGCAGGCACACTTCTATAGAAAGAAAATCTATTCTTATAAAGAAAACAGTCATCTCCCCCATGCTGCTGAACTTGGATTTGATTATACTGACAGAATCTACCTAGGATAACTTGCAGCCTAATGGTACAAAATATGTCTTATTTCTTAGCTCTAGAATATTTAACCAAGCAATCTGTATTTTAAACAAAATGCAGTCGTAGTGACTTCAGACTAAATAGCCAACTCTTGGTCTGTGGTAGTAAATGTATATACATAATTGAGTCATTTAAATTTTTCCTAGAGTGTAAGTTGTTTGGTGGCAATAAAATTCCTAGTTCTTTAAGAGGAAGTAACTTACCTCCAAAGCACCAGTGTGGCAACGAAGGATGGTTCTGGTTAGCTCTAAACACCGGCCATCCCCTAAGCGCAAGGTCTAGGTGACACATCACCAAAGACTGAGCACAGTGTCACCCTCATCCACAACCCCAGTGAAGCTTTTGAATTTCAGTCTTCTAATTGCACTCATTTTTGACTCTTATTTCAGAGCCGATTACCATGCATCTTCAGATGCTAATGGAAGTGGTCCCACCAGAGGAAGAGCCTGAGTAACAAGCTCCATCTCTTGTAGCTAAGTCAAAGCTGAATTTATTTTCTTAAGGAAAAATTGTGGTTATTTCTTATGAATAAAATATATTCAGATGTTTATAATATTGTTACTTTTAGATATTCTTAGTTCTCTGGGTGGGGGTTCCAGAGGGGAGCAGTGGCAAGCGTTTGCTAAAGTTGTTGTCAGGTGAGATGTCACCTAACAGAAGGCAGAAGCTTAGGGAAGGGCCGCATAAAAGCCTCCATTACAGTGGCAACTATTTAACAAAGGGCACATCACACTTAAAGGAAGGGTGTTCTTTAAACTCAATGTCAATAAAATGGATGACATTTTTGCTTTGATACAGATTTTAAAAATAGTAAATTACTGGCCAGGTGCAGTGGCTCACGCCTGTAATCTCAGCACTTTGGGAGGCCAAGGCAGATGGATCGCTTGAGTCCAGGAGTTCAAGACAGCCTAGGCAACATGGCAAAATCACGTCTCTACAGAAAACCGCAAAGAAATTAGCCAGGCATGGTGGTGCACGCCTATAGTCGCAGCTACTCAAGAGGCTGAGGTGAAAGGATCACCTGAGCCTGGGAAATCTAGGGTGTGGTGTGCCATTTTCATGCCACTGCACTCCAGCCTGCATGACAGAGTGAGACCCCAACTCAAAAAGTAAATAAATACATAAAAATATTGAAGTACAAATGTTTATCACCCACTTTTCCCCCAACCCAAAAGTACTGGCATCCCATACTGACCCTGTGATGTGCATAGCACGTATCTGCCAGGACGAATGTCAGGAGCTGAGCTTCTATCCAGAACCCTCCACAGCTGGCGTGCTCATCACAAGGGTCCCCTGCGTCGCCGGTCAGCATCATTGGCTCCCCAGCAGCCTTTACGGGCATTTTAGTCCAACCAGAAAGTGTGGTTAATAAAGTTTTATTTTATTTTAGCATTCAGGGAAAATATTGTTTAAAAAATTTAAAAAGCAACATTTCTGTGAAAACACTGAAATTTTATTGCTGATATACTGCAAAAGACATCCATACCACAACTAAGTATCAGTGATTTTAGAAGCTAGAGACAAAGGCACTTTCACCTTGCATTTTAGATATTTGCCCAAAACTTGAAATCAGACATATTCAAAGCAGTGCAGAAAACCAGTTATTTACTAATTGTTCATATAGTCAGCATCCTGTGTCCCACAAAATGTTTTTAGAGATTCAGATATTAGAACATTTGAATGTCTGAAGAAAGAAACGGATTTTCCTCCCTGCACGGGAAACACATGTTCGTGCAGCTCCATTACTAGCTATTACCATTTGCTATGCTGTACAGAAGAGACTCAGCGCACCCGGGCGTGAACAGCAGGCAGCAGGCATGCACAGGGAGCCACAGGATGGCCGCCCACAGACCTCCACCGAGAGGGGCAGTAGCCATAGGCAGAGAAGCGGATACTGATATGGGCGTCAGAAGTGCTCCACAGTCAAAACCTTTGCCAGCAAAGACACCAGAACTTTCTACTTCCCAAGAGCCTGCCCAATTTACGAAAAAGGAAAATCATCTTATTTCATGGGCCCATTTGATACCTGCCAGTCACTTGCAAGGGTCACAGTAGTGACCTGGGCACACTCCCGGCAGCTGTCTTGGCTGCACAGCACGTCCTCCCTGGGGGAGGGCAAGGCCCAACCCAGCAGCACTTGGTGGGTGCTCCCTGAGACAAGCCCAGGCCACACAATGAGGGGATGTCTCATTTTACAGATGAGGAAACTGAGCCAGAGTGTGATCCACACCTGCTCACAGGACAGCCTGGATGACAAAGTTCGCCTCTAGTTCAGGCGTTGGCTTCTACCTGGGACATACATAAGCCTGGCACTTTCTGATGCAAAAAAAATAAAGCTCTGGGGCCACCACACAACACTCATGTTCTATCCAAATTCTTTTCCACTCCGAGGCAAAAGCTGACAAATGGATACTGAACACACAGGACTCTCAATTTCTCAATAAGTCACCTTTCTACTGAACAAAGAAACCCAAAGCATGAAAAACCAGCCTCTGGGTGTAACCATGACCTCATACACTCCTCCTCCAAACCTGGTGACCCCAGGTGCTGCAGCTGCATGAGGATGGGGTCGCCAATGTCTGTAGGGCTCATGGCATGCAGGTGTTCAAAGGTCACCTCCAGGCACCACACAGGCCCTTGTAAGTTTCCACTAAACAGCAACCTTTGTGCCATTTACTCAGGACTCTGCAGGTCCAGGGGATTGTTCAGAACCAGCAGCTTCACCCTGGAAAGCCCTGGGTCTTACTGAGCAATCTGACTTCTACCTTTGCCTATCTCTTCATCAGAAGTCAGCTTACTCTGAGGAGCTAGCACTATCCAAGGACACTAACACGATCAGTGCAGGTAGATGGGCATGTTCAATCCCACTAGCTCATGGTTGGAAGGGCTGGTTCAACAGTGGCTGAGTGTAAGTGTGTATATTGGAGACCTCAATTTATATGCGTAAGATCAGGTTACAAACGCAATGTATCAAACAGAGGTCTAGGTGAACAAAAAAATGGATGGACTGACTCTAGACAGCACATTTCATCATTCAGATGCGCATCTGTTCTGCCAGTGTGAGAGGCGAGAGGTGTCGGGCAGGGCAGACAAGCCGAAGGGGTCAGTCCGCACCTGCCGTTTCTCTGTCTCCACTCTCCTTTGATGGTCTTGTCATCAGCCTATTTTTAAGTCAACAAAGAATTTCTCACCGTTACCAAGTCCAGCACCACAGGGTGATAGTAATCATTTATCCTTGAGGTAAAGAATGATTTGGCTGGCCAGGCGTGGTGGCTCATACCTGTAATCTCAGCACTTTGGGAGGCCAAGGCAGGCGGATCACCTGAGGTCAGGAGTTTGAGACCAGCCTGACCAATGTGGTGAAACCCCATCTCTACTAAAAATACAAAAATTAGCTTGGTGTGGTGGTGGGCGCCTGTAGTCCCAGCTACTCAGGAGGCTGAGACAGGAGAACTGATTGAACCCGGGAGGCAGAGGTTGCAGTGAGCTGAGATTGCGCCAGTGCACTCCAGCCTGGGCGACAGGGCGAGACTCCATCTCAAAAAAAGAAAAAAAGAAAGATTTGGCTATGACTGATTGTCTTCTTAACTTGCAGTCATGTGGCAATATCGACTTTTGTTCAGCATCTTCCAGCCGCTCCTGAGGACGTCATTCACCTTCTCAATCACTCTCACTGTCATCCTCTGAGGTGCTGCTACTGTCTTCAACCTCCTCTGCCACTGTGTATGGCAGGTTTTTACAGTTCACTTCTAAAGGAGTAAGATACAACAAATAAGTGCAGACGGATCATCAGATCTTTTATTTCCCCCCATTATTTGGGTCAATGAAGAAAAGAATGCCTTGGGTTCCAGCTCTCTACCTATCTTACTGTATATTTTCATTATTTTAGGTAAGAAAGGAGCAGGTAAAATTTGTCTGCTTATAAATTATTCTTCTAGGAAGAATACTGTAACATGTTATTAAAAGGTATGTTTACAACCAAGGGTTAAGTGCTCAAACCAGAACATTTAGCACCAAGATCGACAAAGAGAAAACAAATTTATAAGGGCTTGACATGAAAGGCCCATTTCCACCAATGCTGAATCCCTACGTGGGTGACCGTGTCCCTCACTGCCCTCAGGACCTACAACCCCACGGAGAGTGGGCGCCCCACGCCTTACCCTTGGGGAAGTGGCTGTCCTCTTCAGAGTCTTCCCAGTGATCAAAATCAAAAGCCACATTAGGGTTCTGTTGAAGAGAACGGCTGACAGTGAGTGGGTGACTCTGACACACGCAGAGAGACCGCCCACTGCTGCGCATCCCCACTCACCCTGTGTCTGAGCAGGTGACACCACGCTTCCCTTCTCTCTTTGGCCAGAGTGATTAGAGGTTCATCGTTTCTAATCACGCATTTGCAGTCATCTTGCCTTATGTTGCCCTGCAGCTCCAGATCAGCCAGGTAAAACTTGTCTCCCACCCAAGCACTGGGTTATAAAAAGAAATAAAGTCAGCCTTTTAAAATGCTAGAAATTATTTCTATTCTACTTTATATGACTATACATAAACCTACCTGAAAACGACTCTATCTCTTAAATACTGACACTTATAGTCCTTTGCATTCCTTATTCTTATCTTTAAGATGACGACATCTTCTTTTTGGAACCATTTTACTTGTGGGTGGAAGCTAGAAGGAGAGAGAAAGACTTGCTTATTCATCAGTCTTATTTACTGGGTAGGGAAGCCAATTCCTCCACGCCGAGTGGACCTACCTTTTCAGAGGTGGCTGTGCAGTCCTGCTAACAGAGGCACCGTCAGTGTTTCCAGATGAAGTTTCTGCACAAAACCAAAGTCAGATTGCCCTACAGGTTATTTATATGTAACTCCGTCATGTACGCACATATATACACTTTTTTGCACCTTATGCAACTTCTAGATGAGGAACCACATAAGAGTGTAAATTGCATAGTAACCCTAGTATCTAACTGCAAAGAACAGTTAGAAAAAATTTAAAACCATCACATAGGAAAACAAAATTTTAAATGTTTAAGATAGAGTTTCGCTCTTGTTGCCCAGGCTAGAGTGCAATGGCACGATCTTGGCTCACTTTAACCTCAGCCTGTCAAGTTCAAGCAATTCTCTTGCCTCAGCCTCCCAAGTAGCTGGGATTATAAGCATGCGCCACCACACTCAGCTAACATATTTTTAGTAGGGACGGGTTTTACCATGTTGGTCAGGCTGGTCTTGAACTCCTGACCTCAGGTGATCCACCTGCCTTGGCCTCCCAAAGTGTTGGGATTACAGGCTTAAGCCACTGCACCTGGCCTGCAATTTTATTTTAAAATAAAAACAGCCTTTGATGAGTATTAAAATTAAATGACCAGGAAGTAAAGTCACTCATTTGAAAAAGAACCTCATTGCAGTGGCTGGCCTTGGATACAAACGTGCAGGCTTCTCTGGGGCTGTCTTGACCTGCCACGACTTCAAGGACAGCGGCCAGCACGCACTAGGAGCCAGTGCCGGACACGACATGTCCTCAACGTAATGTGAACCTCTCAATCTTCAACAGGTGAGGCTTCCTTCCAAACACCAGAGCAAAAATGTTCACAGCTGCTGGAATCACAGTAGGCTGAGATGGAAAACAGTTCCACCATCTGTGGTTTATTCATGGTATGGAATACAATAGCAAACAGACTCCCGCTGAGAAAACACCATCCTTGGTGTCACCTGCTGCCTGCCATTGAGTGGCCTCAGGAGACAAGTGTGCTGACCCAGTGACATCAACATCAAGAACCTTCGAGAACACAATCCCCGAGTCCTTCTGAGGGGAGGCAAGCAGAGGAATCCAGGGTGGCCTGGCCTGATCACAGAAGCTGGGACTGATTCTGAAAACGGGCGTGAAGCTGTGGTGTGAAGGAGGTGGTCCTGCCACCAAACGTGAACAAGAACAGGAGACTGCTTCTGGGAGCAGGCGGCCAGGTTCCTCTTCGGAGTCATAAACCAAAAAGTGACTGAGGGAGTCTCAGCCAGCTTGAGGTTGATTTATCCACGGTTAAGGATGCGCCCCGGAAAAAACACACAAATCACAGGAGTGCCGTAGCCTCTGCTTTTCCAAAGGGGCTTCCTGAACATCAGTGTTTACAGGGGAGAGCAAGCCAGAGGCAGAAAGGGCGGCAGAGGGGTGGGACAAACCCAATCACACGTCCCCTGGAGCTCAGGAAAGCTACATTTTACACAAGATAAAGTGACATGTGACAGGAGACATACAGGACACAGGGCTACAACCCAGAGCTGTGAAGGGACAGCTGTCTGCTTGGGAACAAAAGGCAGGTAGCTTAGACCCAGGTCTGGTGTGCAACTTCCCCTTTGGCAAAGGGAGTTTAGAGATGGTGTTTTGCTTGCATAGAGCATAGCTACAGCTGGGAAGGCAAGAGCGCGCAGTGGCCCCTGAGCTGCACCACATACAACACAAACCACCCCACGCCCAGGTCCTCCAGAAGCCCTGCTTGGCACAGTGACATCTGGGTGGTGTGTCTGCAGAGGAGGGCACAGGGTCCACCTGAGACCAGCCACCTGCTGCAGAGCCAGCAGACGCTGCGGAGGAAACGCCACCCTAACTGTGATGGACCTCTGAAGCTCAGGCCTTGCCCGCTCACCAGCTCATGGCGACACAGTGGACACATCACACTTTTCTAGCCACAGGGAGACAGTGAGTATCCAAAACCAGAAACTCTCTGGGAAGCCAAGGCAAGAAGAGCCATGAAGGAAGTGCATGGCATTTTCCTTCAACTGCTTGAACCTGAACAGGATCCCGGAGACAAGTCTCTTGCAGTTGAGACACAGAGCTGGGGAGTTCCCCGTTAGAGCGGCTCTTCCATGAAGGCGGCCGAGTGCCTGGTAGCTGCAGTGGACATGTAATAGCCAGAGCTTCCCAGCAGAGCTCACTAAACGATTGCATGTCCTCCAAGAGCTACGGTCTGGGGGACCCACCTGGCTGCCCTGATCCCCCTTGGGCCCCACCAGCCTCTATGCAAAGCACAAATCAGCCGGTAGCAGGGTCTGCAGCAGTGCAGACCCGCTTCAGCTCCACCTCTGCAGTCTACTGGATCCCAGTCTGCTACTGTGGAATCAACACCGCTCTGGGAAAATCCTCTTAATGGCAATTGTCCCAATGACCCTGTTCCTCTGACCAGTTGGCCTTGCAACTTCTCTGTTTCCCAGGACTCTTCAGAAAACCCCTTCCAGCAGATCCCACACAGCGAAACCGGCTGCCCCCACTGTGGCCGAATCCAGGGGCAATCTTCATGAAGAGAAGGTGCATGCGCATTTTAACAGCTACATCCAGTCCCCCACGTACCACTTGCCTGCAGATGACCCTTTCTCCTCACCTGCACCTCTCACCTCACCAGCCGCAGTCACTGCCAGCAAGAGCAATAAACGGGACTGTGATGAAGAAAGGCATACCTGGGTTTGGACCACGGCAACAATGAAATGCATCTAAACCCATTTTTCCAAATGACCCACCTCTGTCTCAACACCCCCCTCCCCCCGCCAAAAGAAAAAAAAAGCTGTGTGTGGAAATGGCTGGAATAATTTCTGTAGGAAACAATTTCCAAAACATATCCAGAGATGCATGGGAATCACACAGGCAGTAGGCAAGACACCTCCGTCAAAAAGCCTCCTCCCTCAACCTCCATCTTCAATGAGGAATCAATCTGTAGGGGCGTGAACTGCCCTCTGGGGCTCTCAGCGCCTGGATTTCACTGTCTCGGATGTGTATCAAAGGGACTGGAGCCGTGCAGGGTCTACCCTCCCAGGATCTTATCCTGCCCTCCTGGGAAGTGGAATGAGGGACCAGAGCGGGAGCACTGAACATCTGCGATGTGGAAACCTGGAGGTCCCGGCGCTGGAGTGTTGGGGACTCTGTTTAGTTATGGGATGAGTTTATCAATATATGTCATCTAGGCATTTTCTAAGATTTGTCAAGACAAGGGGCAATGACCTAACCCCATTTCATGAAGACAACAAATATCAAAATTAAAAGGCCACATGAAGATAAATTCCAGTGACGGAAAAATGGTCTCACCTCTCCTTTCCTTCTCCTTCTTCCTCACTGACTCCCCTTCTGCAAGGGCTTGGGTTTTGTCCCGTTTGTCTTTTATTTTCTTTTTTATTTTTTTGAGATGGAGTCTCGTTCTGTTGCCCAGGCTAGAGTGCAGTGGTGCGATCTCAGCTCACTGCAACCTCCGCCTCTTGGGTTCAAGCGATTCTCCTGCCTTAGGCTCCCAAGTAGCTGGGACTACAGGTGTGTACCACCATACCTGGCCAATTTTTTTGTATTTTTAGTAGAGATGGGGCTCTAACATGTTGGCCAGGCTGGTCTCGAACTCCTGACCTCAAGTGATCCACCTGACTTGGCACCCCAAAGTGCTGGGATTACAGGCGTGAGCCACCGTGCCCAAGCAGTTCTGTTTGTTTGTTTGTTTTTTGAGACATAGTCTTGCTCTGTCATCCAGGCTGCAGTGCAGTGGTGTGATCTCAGCTCACTGCAACCTCTGTCTCTCAGCTTCAATGGATCCTCCCACCTCAGCCTTTTGAGTAGCTGGGATTACAGGTGCCTGCCACCACGCCCAGCTAATTATCTTTATTCTTTATGGCACCTAACTCAGTGCCAAGTTCATACATGTCAGAAATCTTTGCTAAATCCGTGCGATTAGCCTGGCCAAGGTCAGCCAACTCTATTCAAATGCCAGCTCCTCTTTGCTGAAGCGCCGTGCAATAAAAGGGAGCCTAGACATAAAGTCTGAAGAGAGCCATGCAATACGCAAATACTTCCCAAAATCAAGAAAAAAATGCCAACACTTGTAATAATGCAGATTAATTTCACAGACATAATGTTAATTGAAGGAAGCCACAAGAACATATACTGTAAGCCGGGCACAGTGGCTCATGCCTATAATCCCAATACTCTTGGAGGCTGAAGCAGAGGATCACTTGAGGCCAAGAGTTCAAAATCAGCCTGGGCAACACAGTGAGACCTCATCTCTATTTCAAATAAAAGAATGTATTCTATATGCTTCCAATTCAGCAAAACTAATGGGGTCAGAAATCAGAATGGTTGGTGGGGAGGGTTCTGGGCAGGAGACTTCTGGGGTCTTGGAAATGTTCAACAGCTCCATCTGGGTGTGGTTCACGGGGACACACACACACACACACACACACACACACACACACACAGACACTGCTGAGCTGTTTTCTTAACATCTGTGCACATCACTGGATAGATGTTAGACCTCAAACTACAAAAACAAAACACTGGAGGCTGAACTGTCAAAAATAAGAACCGTTAGGTGACATCAGTTTATGTTGTCTTTTCTACATTTCATCTCAAAGTGGAAAGTCTAAACATTAGAAAATTTCCAGACATTAACGATTTGAACTTAACCATCTTTTGAATAGCAAATACCTACCAGGCTTCTGGTTTTCTGAGTTCGTCTTGGACTCAGCCCCTCCTTCTGCACCCGGGTCCTCGGTCCGGAGGCTCTGCAGGCGAGCAGTGTCTTCTGCTGGAGGAGGTGTCCTAGACAGGAGAGGCGGGGTTAACACCTGGCTCTCTCCAGGAACTCCCCAAGTGGGAGAGGAAGGCAGGCAATAAATGACTGCAAAGTGCCTGTGGCCCTGGGGAGTCAGACCCACATAGAGCTTGTGGCTCATTTAAGATGCCCCGGGCAGCCTGCCAGCTCTGTGACTTCTGATGAGGGCCTGGTGACTGACACGGGACCAGGGAAGGCCTTCACTCTTCACCAGAGTAGTTTGCCTTCCACACTCACTGCTGCCCGCTTCTAACAGGACAGACGTGACAAGCCAGTTTCCTGCCTCCCCTACCCAGTCTCTGGGGCCATCTTCCCAGAGACCACCCCTGTTACCAGTTTGGGCCTACTTCTGGAAATATTCTTTGCATAAAAAAGAAATTACTGCCTTATATATCCTTCTATCTAAAACACACAGACACACACATTTAAACACATGGAGCCTACTAAATTCAACGTGCTGCCCCATATTTTATCCTACTTAATAACTAGCTAGATTATTTATTTTAAAATTTTTATATCGTGTTATTCTTTTGGTTCTTTGAACAGGTAACCACATTCATGCAGTTCAGTATTTTAAAATAAGTCACATTTGGCTGTACAGTGACAAGCTCCCTCTCACCCCTGCTCCCTAGCCAGCCAGCTCCTTTCCTCGTGGGTGACAGTGTGACTTGGTTTTTGTACATCTTTGAAGAGACAATTCAAGCCTAAATGAGCGCGCACACACACAGAGCTGTGAGAAGGAGGGGCGCATGCATCTTCTGGCCGGGAACAAGCCTGTGGCGTGGCACTTTCCAGATTCAGGCAGCGAGCGTCCCTAGTCACTGCCCTTCCCCGGGCTCTGTGCAGTCACCCATCCTCCTCCTTCCTCCTCATACTCACCAAGCTTTGACTCTCCTCAAACAGCAGCAAACCAAGAGCCTTCCCCGGCTGCTTTCCTGAGCCCTAGGCTTAGACTTTCAGTAACCTTAAAAGCTAGTACCTCCACAGCCCACCTCAGCCTCTCCTCTTCTGCCGAGGGCTGTGTGTGGGAACCACCTGTCACCGTCCACTGCACCAGCGTCCCCCAGGCACCACACTCCCCTACATCTGCCCACCACTAAGTCCGGTGGCTTCCAGATCTGCCAGTCACAGCCCGAGAGACTCTCGCCAGTTCCCTCTCTACCTGTCAGGATCCCCTATTCTCCAGGAGCTGTCTGAGATGGGGTCTCTCCTAGCAGGCTCCCTGTGAAACCTCGCAGTGCCTGTACTGCTGTGTGCTCTGTGTTCACAGTCACGGGTATGGTAAGCTCACTTCCTAACCACAAACCTACAGTGCAAAAAAGGGGCCGTGCAGAGCCTTAGCATAGAGCTGGGGCTCAAAGTCAGTGCTTCCCATAAGCCACTAAACTTGTTTTGGTTAAATCTACTGAACTTTAATGACCTCTTCATTTCTAAAAGAGCATCTTAAAAGTATGGGAAAATTTTTCTTCTTTCTCGAAAGTGGATGGAAACTACCCTGTATCCTAATCCTATAGGTACCCATTTTTATTAAGGTAAAAAAATGAAAAAACTTTAGACCATAAGGTGTTCATCTTTGCCTTTTTTTTTTTTTTTTTTTGAGACAAGTTCTTGCTGTCACCCAAGCTGGAGTGCAGTGGGACAATCACAGCTCCCTACAGCCTAAACCTGGGCTCAGGCAATCTTGCCACCTCAGTCTCCCAAGTAGCTGGACCTACAGGCGCACACCACCAAACCCAGCTAACTTTTATATTTTTAGTATAGACAGGGTCTTGCTATGTTGCCCAGGCTGGTCTCAAACTCCTGAGCTCAAGCGATCCTCCGGCCTCGGCCTCTCAAAGTGCTGGGATTGCTGGCATGAGCCACTGTGCCTGGCCCACATTCTCTTTAAACCCTCCTACTTTCAGCTGTGACTCAGGAATCTTTCACCATCACTAGCAACCACTAACCTCGCAGGCACTAGCCCAGCTGTCAGTCTCGGTTCGCATTCGCTGGGTCTGCAGCTGCACCTGGGCCAAGCTCATCACTCCTGCCCAGGACATGCATCCCTTACCCACCCACCTCCAGACATCCTCTCCAGGCTTTCCTCCACCTGCTAGCTACAACATCCCCGGCCTTTTCCACACTCCCTGGTGGAGGCACCAGGGCTCACCCTTAGACCCCTCCTCTCACGCCTCTGGGGCTCCCAGGCCCTGCCATGAGGCCTGTGCTCTTGCCACAGACGCAGCCCGCCTGGAGCCCTGTCAGCTCCAGCAGAACATCATGAGAAGCTGGTGGCTTCTCAGCCTCCACAAAGCCACCTGGTCCAAGCCTCCATCTTTCTGTCCTAAGCTCCTGGCACAGTCCTGGTCCCCTAGCCCTTCCTTCAGTCTGTTCTCAACACAGCAGCCAAAAGCCAACTTCTGTTCAAGTCACCCATCTGCTCAAAACCCCCTCATGGCTCCTGGCTCTGTGGAATGAGAGCCCATTCCTTGCAGTGGCCACAGGCCTCGCAAGACCCCTGGCCCAGCCTCTCATGGCCCCTGCACCCCCGGGTCCCTGTGTGCCGCTCCACTCCGGCATCTTCCTCCCTGCTCCTGGAACTCGCCACCCAGACTTTCCCCTAGCCCATGGGGCCTCCTCCCGGCATCCACGTGGACCGTGCCTCACTGGCTCCCAACTACACATGCGCCCTGGGAGGAAGCTCTGTGGTGTTCTTACTCACCCATGCCCCTCCTGCTCCTCGGACGGACAATCCTGGTCTTGAGCAGGCCTGGTTCCTGTCACCGTCAGCCTGGAGGAGCAAAGCAGACTTATTTGCAAATAATCGTGGGTATCTGTGGACCTTGTCTGGGGACAGTGGAGGACAGAGCTCGGAGTACAGGGGGAAAAGCAGTGGGACCTCCTTCTAAAGCTACCAGGCCCTACAGACCCAAGAGGCCTGTGTGGGCCGGGCCGGAGAAGATGCAGAGAGCAAGAGACTAGGGAATTAGGATGTTCAAAAGCAGTCATGTGTACCGGCCATTTAGAAAGCCGCATGCACACAGAGACATGCCTGGAAGAGCCCTGAGGAGACCTGGAGTCTGCACCGCAGGCGGGGCCCTGGAGAGGATGTGAAGAACTGCAGGCCTTGGGCGGGGCTGGTGGAATGTACAATGGGGCAGCTGCTGTGGAAACTGGATGGAGCTTCCCCAAAAATCACACACAGGATTCCCGCAGGACCAGGCAGCTCCACTTCCAAGTAGCAACCCCAGAGAAGTGAAGGCAGGGGTTCAAACAGGTATTTATACATCTGGGTTCACAGGAGCACAACCACCACAGTCAAGAGGGTCAGCAGCCCAGGCGTGCACAGGCGGATGAATGGAGAAGCGACACTTGGTGATCCATGCCATGGAGGATGAGCTTCAAAGGGAAGGAAATCCGACCCGGGTGGCAACACGGGTGGACCTTGAGGACACTACACCGAGACAAGCCAGGTACAAAAGGCAAACAGCAGATGATCCCACTTAAAGTACCCAGGACTGGTAGATTCACAGAGACAACAGAGAGTAGGGCTGGCAGGGACAGACTCTGGAATTGCCATGTAAGGGGCAGAGAGTTTCTGTCTGGATGATGAGCAAGTTCTGGAGATGGATAGTGATGGCTGCACAACACTGCGAATGTCCTAAGTGCCACCGAATTGTACACTTAAAAACAGTTTAAATGGCAGCCGTTGGCGTGAATTTTGCCACAATAAAACGCATGGGATTGGAGAAGTCACCGAGTCTTTTTTGCTGTGCTAACAGCGCTCTGGTCAGGTTTTCCGGAGCCCTGCTGCTCTCATCCCTGCCCACGCTTGGTGCGTGTCTGCCTTCCTTCTCTCATTTCCCCCTTCTGGTGGGCTGGGCGTGTAGTGGTGTTACCCCCTGGGCTCTCATCTTCGTCTCCCTGATGACTCAGGGGTTCCGGCACCTTCTCTTATGGTAATTAGACATCCAGAAGTGGCTGCTCAGGGCTTTTGTCCCCTTTCCTAACAGGTGCCTGCCGTTCTCCTCCTGGCTGGAATGAATTCTTGATACAGATCCTTCCCCCTTTGGAGTTGCCAGGATCCCTCCAGAGTGACTGTCACAGTCTCTCTAATACCCCTCATGGGAGGAGACGCTGGCGCAGCCACTTTGGGACACTATTGGGTAGGAACTCTATGACTCCGCAATCCCATTCCCCATTCCCTCAGAAATATATTTGTAAGTGTATATATTTGTAAAAGGCATGTACGATAATGTTTAATATACCCCAAACTGGAAATTTCCCTGGTTAACAGTAGAATGGGTAAACAAATAATGGTATATTCATACAAAGGAACATGATACAGCTGTGAGAATTTAGATAAATTATGCCTCCTTCGAGCCTAGCTTCTGTCACTCACCGTGGTTAGGAAGTATACTGTCTAATTCCATTCAAACAAAGTACAAAACCGGGGACAACCATTTCTGCTTTTCCATGTCAGGAGAATGGCTCCTCTTGGTGGGGAGGAGTCCCTGGGAGGGAGGGGGAGGCTCTCAGGCGGGCTCTGTTTCTTGATTCGGGCTGGTTACACAGGTATGCTCAGAAAAACCCAACACATCTGACCATGCAAGTCTGATGTGTGCACTTTTTGTATGTGTGCCATTTGTCAATAAAAAGTTAACAACAATCCTTGCTGTAAGAGATACAGGTGAAATAATATATTTGATATCCACTTGATAATACTCCAAAAAAGCAAGGGTGGGATGGAGTGTAGATAAAACAAGATTTCCAAAAGCTTGGTCATTACTACAATTGAGTGATGGGTACATGGAGACTCATTAAAAACTTTTTTTTTTTTTTTTTTTTTTTTTTGAGACAGAGTCATGCTCTGTCGCCAGGCTGGAGTGCAGTGGTGCGATCTCATCTCACTGCAACCTCCACCTCCCAGGTTCAAGCAATTCTCCTGCCTCAGCCTCCCAAGTAGCTTGGATTACAGGCATGCACCGCCACGCCCAGCTAATTTTTGTATTTTTAGTAGAGACAGGGTTTCATCATGTTGGCCAGGCTGGTCTCAATCTCCTGACCTTGTGATCCAAACACCTCGGCCTCCCGAAGTGCTGGGATTATAGGCGTGAGCCACCGCACCTGGCCAACTCTTCTACTTTCATAAAACACGTCCTTAACACTTTGTGAGTTTTACTTCCAAAAGCTCTTCCAAAAAGGAGACAGAAATCCACTTACAGGGTCTCGCTTGGGCTTTCTTCAAAAGCTGGCATCTTAGCGCCTTCATGTAATTTTTTTAGTTGTTCTGCATGTTCTGGATTATCAATGCCCATTCCCATGGACAAAATTTCAGCTCGAACATTATAATCAATGACAGAGGTTTTTAAATTGGAAAGGTTTATAATGTGCACCTGGAATCAATGAAGAAACAGAACATCAAAAGGCGTCACTCTGAATTTTCACTGAAGCACACACACCCTCACAGGGCCTCTCTGGCTCCTCCTGCCACGTCGGCTACACTTTAGCACTTGCCACGATGTGCAGGGCTTCCCACGGCAGCATCTGGATTGGTTCATACCTGAGGTTCCATCCGAATTGTCCACACCTTGCCCCATGCCACAGAAATATGGGCAAGTGGGGGGAGGGGCAAGAGAAAATCTAGGATAAACCCGTAGTCAAGACCAATCTGTAAGGCCACGGCCAGATGCACACTTCTGACATCTTTCTTACTCCTTCCTTCTCAACCACTTTTCCCTGCCGAGACTCAGCATTTGCCTGTGCCTGGGAAGGGCCTACGCCAAGGCCCTGAATCCTGTTCTGGGCCATTTCTTCTGCTCATCTTTTCTGCAACCAAAACATCCTCATCCATTTCCATTTACAGAAAATTAAGTCAAACACAAAAATCTGCAACAGACTGGCCCTGTTGGGGGTGTGGGCATAGGAGGGGGCATCCCTTCCATGGTGAGAATGGGGGGTGCTCCAGGCCTGCCCTGGCTGAGGCCCCTTCCTAGGTGAACCCCAGGAATGTGTGCCCACCAGGGAATGTGTGGAGGAGCCTCTCTCCACTCAAACTGGGTGGGAGCAGGATCAGGTGGAGACGGTGAGGGTGGGTCTGTTTCCCTCTGGCACATCGTGGGCACTGCCACACGCTGCAGCATGGACACATCTGCCAGGTGGGTTTTCTTTTTTGCTTCAATCTCTTTTAAATCCCTGCTTAATAAATTTTCTGCTTTTCTCTCCAACAAAAAAATAAACACAATACTATCACAACACCAACTAAGATGCCCAAATCGCCTCATTTACCTGCATTTGTAATCTATATTTTCTCTTCTGAAAACCACTTTCTGCTTAGAGAGAAAATCTTACATCCACTGCCCTTTTAACATGTTAAAGCTTTTCCAACCTGATAAAAATAACATCCAGCAACAGTTTTGATAAACTAACTCCTTTAAATCTTCTAAGTATTCATAATAAGGTTTAAGTCTAATACAGCAGCATTTGGAATTGAGAAGTGGACCTTGCGGGGAACAAGCAGGGAGGGGTGGTACTAGCAGCCGTGGACAGACACAGATGCCTGTGAGTCACGTGTCCTTGTCATGTGTCCTCCCCCCTACCTCCTCTACAGGATGGGGCTTCATCTGCATTGCTCACAGAGGGAACCCCAGTGCCCAGCACTGCTCCTGGCACGTGGCAGGCGCTTAGTAAGTGCGTGGTGAATGAGTGAGTCAGAAACCGTGTGCATCAGAGAATGTCGCGCGGAGTCCTCACAAAGCTTTGTTCGGCTGTGTGTATGCCTCACATACAGAGTGCACATGTGTGCTGGGTTACAATGTAAAATACTCCCCTGAACAAAAACGAAACCCACAGCCCAATTCATGCCCCAAATAACATGAAAAACACCTCTCCCTAACAAAACCCCAAATAAGTCACCATTTCTGTGCAGCAGTTATTCAAGTGACGGGTTAGAATAATCTGGATAACTTTAGGGGCCCATTCAAACAGATTTATTGTTAATAAAACTGCATACTTACCATTGGATCAATCCAAATTGTATTTCCCAAAGCCAGGATCACCTTTGCATCATGCAATTTTCCAACAATTTTATGATGAATGTACCTGGTAACCTGAAAAAAGCACTTAACGTTATTTTAGGTGAGGCTTTAAAATATAACTTATTTTGTATTCACCACACAGTTTGCAAAATATTCCATGAATTTCATTTGAGCCTCACAGTAACGCTATGAGGTCACCGAGGTCAGCACCCCCTTTTGTGCACAGGGCTAACAGCAGAGTTTAGTGAGGCAGCTGCGGAAGGGAACTTGCCCATGGCCTCGTACTAGGGAGTTCCCAGAGCTCGAGGAGGGGCTCTGTGCCTCTAGGACCCAACAACACTGTCGGTTTTCCTCTGTGGACACGTGTACTCCATCTCCTCTATTACCTGCCAATCTGTCTTTAAAGCACAGATGCCTATTTCTTTGAAAGCTCAATGAGAGTGAAGGGAAAGGTGTCTCCTGCTCTGAGGCCGTCACTGCAATGAAGCTGCCTTGCAGCCAGTGACACTGGAGCTGAGGGCCTGGTCTTTGTGTACCCATTCCTGAGCAAATGGCTGTTTTCTTTCTCTTTTTTGAGGCAAGGTCTCTCTCCACCGCCCAGGCTGGAGTGCAGTGGCACAATCACAGCTCACCACAGCCTTGAACTCCAGGGCCCCTGCGATCCTCCTGCCTCAGCCTCCCCAGTAGCCGAGACCACAGTTGGCTAATTTTTAGTAGCACCACCAAAGTTGGCTAATGAGAAAATTTTTTTTTGTAGAAATGGGGTCTCACAATGTTGCCGAGGCTGGTCTTGAACTCCTAGGCTCAAGCAATCCTCCCATTTTGGGCTCCCAAAGCGCTGGGATTACAGATGTGAGCCACCTGGTCTAGCCATGGCCGTTTCCTCTCAAGGAGGAACACAACAGGAAGGCCCTGTCCGAGCAACCTTTCATGCACATTTTAACATGAACAAAGCAGGGCACGAGGGAGCTGCCCGTTTCCATCCCCCTTGTACTTGGTGAGTTAATTCGGAAGAACATACGCAGGAGAACCTTTCTCCATTTCTACAGAAGGCTGCTCCTTCAAGGAATACTTTTGGTCAGTCATCTTTATAGGTCAGATGTTTCTTGGGGAAAGGACCGTGCCCCTCCTGCCGACAGCTACATTCCCAGAACCCAGCAGGGCACCTGGTACAAAGCAGACAGTCATTAGAAAGAAGGAGCGCCACTGCCTTGTGATAAAGGCTCCTTTTACTACACTTAGGACAGTAAAGTTGTGTATTTATCCTGTAACGTATAAACATTCACCTGTTTATTTCCTGGATAATGTTTAACCTTGCTTAACCCAAACTGTTTTTACTTTACCAATTGCAATGACGTATTTCATGTCCCATTTGTCGAATTATGCAAAATGTAACCTTTCCTTGGAGAATTGGGGCACTCATCAACACAACTGATGCTCCAGTGACAGGCAGGACTGCTGCAGGTCTCTCCCTGGCTGCAAGGGCTGGGCCTTCCCACCGCACCTGAACAGCGCATGAGCCGCACAGGACCCTCTGTGTCTGTGCCTCAGCACAGGTCTGCAAGGGTTGGTCCACCCCACCTGGACGGCCACACGAGCCCACATGGGGCCCTCTTCTGTGCCTCAGCACTGGTGGTTCTCTCCGCTTTCAATGCCTCATCCGTCTGCTTGGTGACATCCTAGTTAACTCACGAAGCCCAGAGAAAATGACCCTTCCTTTGGCAGCTTTTCTGGCCTCCATCTCTTCTTCCCGGCCCATTGTCCCTGCCCCAGGGGAATGATCTGGCCTCTCCTGAGACTGCCCATTGCTTCTGCCCCCTCTTTGGCTGGAGAGTCCACTTTTATCACTTTTTTCTTTTTGAAAGAGACAGGGTCTCGCTCTCTCACCCAGGCTGGAATGCAGTGACACGATCATAGCTCACTGCGGCCTCAACTTCCTTGGGTCGACGGATCCTCTCCCAAAGTGCTGAGATTATAGGCATGAGCCATAGCACCCAGCCTGGAATGTTCACTTTTGTAGGTGCTTCCACCACTTAAGTTGATGAGCAATTTATTTTACCATCATCCTTACTTTATACCAATTCTGTGACCATAACCACAAGGATAGTGGTGGGAGCAGTGTCGCGGCCTCCTGGCACCTCTCCAAGGGCTCACCTGGGAGGTTCCCACACCAGTGGCATCTAAGCAGACTGTGCTTTCCCTGCCCAGACACAACACTCTAAATTCAGACAGGCCTCACTTCTGTGTATACTCAGGGTTAAATATATTCTAAAAGTCAACAAAACATAAAAAGCCAAAATAACCCACCTTTGGATTCCATTCCATTTCGTTGTCAGCAGGTTTCACCCTACAGACAATAAACTCCACAGCCTGCGGGGGAAGCGCGTGGAATTGCTCCGGGAGATGCAGCAGCTGGTCCCTCATGATGAGCCTCGTCCTGCCTTCATCAATGAACTCTACGAGGACGTCGTCCGGGACCCAGGCGTCTTCTTTCCGGCTCACTTCCAGCACCTGAACCCTAGAGAGCAATGGGGCATCAGTTCAACACAGAGATCCCAGAAAAGATCATCTTTGTCCCAAATTACCATGAAATGGAAGACATACAAAAAGAAACTCTATAATTGTACTCTATACTAGAAATGAAAAACTAAGGCCTTCAGAAATTCAAGTGGTGGATTAAAGTGTACATAAGTATGAAAACATGTAGTACTTTTGAACAGACTAAATCCTTTTATCTAACTACAGGTATTGATCGACTTACGACCTATGCAACTTACGACCATTCAACTTTACGACCACAATCGATAGCCAAGACTGCTCCGCGTCTGGCAGCGCAAACGTTGCCCAGCCAGGCGTACGATAGTGCGGACCAGCTTCTGGCAGCACTACCATCTCCGCGTGCACCATTTCAACTGTACATATAGCCTACTCAACTTACGACCAAATCGTGTTACGACCGGTCCGTGGTCCCAACGTGGTCGTTAAGTCGAGCACTCGCTGTGCATGATAAAAATTAACATAGTAAATTAGCTTCAAAGTTATTTATTTTATTTTGTAGAGACAAGGTCTTGCTCTGTGGCCCAGGCTGGAGTGCAGTGGCATGATCATAGCTCACTGCAGCCTTAACCTCCTGGGCTCAAGCCATCTACTCACCTCAGCCTCCCAAAGTGCTGGGAGTATACGCATGAGCCACGTCACCTGTCAAGTTTCAAAGTTTCTGAATTCAAGGCTATCATCAAGTGGTACCAGCTGTGGATTCAAGGCAAGTGGGTGCAAACGTGATTCAAACTGACCAGATTGGAACACACTATGCCAGGTATGAAGCTTACACCATGTTCATAACATCACCAAGGCTCAGTTTTCTTATCTGTAAAATGGGCATGATGCCCACTTGATAGGAATTAGGCAAGAATTAAGTGAGGTAAAGATGTATGTGTATATTGCACGCAGTAATGGCTCAACACGTCACAGTGTCACTGGGCGCAGGAGCCTGGGAAACAGTTTCCCATGAAGAACTGGAGCAGGCATCTGGAGGGACACCCTGCTGTCACCAGGCTCACATACACACTGAGTCAAACGACAGAGGTGGAAATTGAAACTCAATACCATCAGTTACCTCATGCTTCAAAACTTTACAGATGAAATAAACAGATGTTACCTGTGAAAAAGTGTTTTTTCTGCGAATCCATACAATCCAAACTTCTCCACCTTTTCCACAGTTGTTTTATTATTGGAATCCTTAAAATACTCATTCATTTCAGCACTGAGGGTTGCATACAGATCCATGTTTTTATCAATTACACGGCCAAAGTAATTTGTTGCATTCAAAATATAAAAGGGCATTATCTGAAACATACATAGTAAACATGACCAGGAAACAAACTTAGTCTAAACTGAAGATGTACATACTCCCTGTATCTGCAGAAATCAGTACCTAACCTAAGAACCCAAAGCTTAGTAATGTGGATTTGGAAATAAACTAGGAAGCTAGCCAAAAAACCAAAGCAAAATCAATACCTCACACCATAGTCACAAAGAATTAGAGTTTCACTTTAAATCTAGTGAAAGAAGATTTTTTCTTTTGCAAATTTCATTATTTTAAAACCTCATTATTAGGTGTAAGTGTTCTTTTGTTTACCTTCTAACCGTACTTTTATAAAAATTCTTCTGAAAATACCACTGCTGTCTCTTGACACCTTCTGATCTTTTTTCAGGTAACAGATGCATTTTATCAAGAGTCTACTGTATACCAGCCTCCAGGGTTACAGGGATGAAACCGCATCCTACAGAGACCCTCAGCAATCCAGAAGTGGACAGAGAGGCCACAGCTTGCATGTGCTGGAGAAGACAGCCCTTCACAGGTTAGGGTGGGGAACAGTGTGCAAGGCAAGTCTGCAGAGGGCACAGATGCTCTGTGTGAAGGCAGGGAACCCTGGCTGCCCAGAGTGGATGCCAGGAGTGAGAAGTAGGCACTTGGCAGAATAGGGGAGAGGGTCAGGCTCGTGACACCCACAGGCATCAGTGTCTGTGCCTGGGCAGGAGGAAACAAAGTGACAGACCTGAGAACAGAGAGCTCTAGAAGAGGCAAGAGGCCCTCCCTGGAAATGGGCTCAGTCAGTGCAACAGGTGAGCCCAGGAGGCTTCACCTACCCCCACAGTGGGTGAAGGCTGGAGCCCCTGCAAAATCTCCACCCTCTCTCTCCAGGGACAAGAGGCATGAAGGAAGAGAAAACCAGATAACTATGTCACCATATTTATTTTACACAGCATGTAAAACAACAGAAACGGGAACTCTGTGAAATCAGAAAAGTTACCCTGACGCACACCTCCTCCAAAATGTCAGGAAAACATATTTTACCTAAAAACAAGCAATAGCAAAGTAACACAGTCAAATCCGATATTAAGTCATCATAAAGTAATAAAACATAATATGTAAATAAAATTAAAAAGAGAATAAAGAGAAGAACAGTCTCTACAGACAATGAAAGCTGCTAGAAAGATACATCCACAAAACAGATCAAAACTATAACATTCAATTTCAAGAAAACCTGCTTTTAATTTGTTAACTAAGAAAATGATACGTGTATAAAAGAGTAACAGATCAGAGTTAGAACAACTTAGAACTGAGGTGACAGAACACAGGAAAGACTTAGAAATTTTTTTAAAAATCCAATAATGAAAACTGTAGTGGGTTGGATGGTGGCTCTCCCAAAAAAGGTATGTCCATGTTCTTTTTTTTTTTGAGACGGAGTTTCACTCATGTTACCCAGGCTGGAGTGCAATGGTGCGATCTCGGCTCACCGCAACCTCCACCTCCTGGGTTCAGGCAATTCTCCTGCCTCAGCCTCCTGAGTAGCTGGGATTACAGGCACACACCACCATGCCCAGCTAATCCTTTGTATTTTTGGTAGAGACGGGGTTTCACCATGTTGACCAGGATGGTTTCGATCTCTTGGCCTCGTGATCCACCCACCTCGGCCTCCCAAAGTGCTGGGATTACAGGCTTGAGCCACCGCGCCTGGCCGGTATGTCCATGTTCTAACCCCCAAGGCCACTGTGACTTTGACCTGACTTGAAAACAGGGTCTTTACAGATGTACTGAAGTCTGCAGACTGGGAAAGGGCTCTGGGTGATCCAGGTGGGCCCTCCCTCCAATGAAATGTCCTTTATAAGGGGCACAGAGAAGAGGAGGTCATGTAAAGATGCAAGTGGAGAGACAGTGACAGGGGCTGCCGGCTGAGACGCAAGGACGCCGGGCAAGGAGCAGGCCAGGTCACCCTCTGGAGGCTGTGGAGGGGCACAGCCCTGCTGATACCCTGACGTTGGACTCTGGCATCCAGGAACGTGACAGAAGAAATGTGTGTTGCTTTAAGTCACTAACTCAGTGGTAATCAGTTACAGCAGTCTACAAAACAAAATAGATATTGCCCTAAGGAAACAGGTGAAAAGGAGAGAAATGGCATGCTCAAAAAGAAACGAAGAAATTAATAAAAAAAAAGAGTTGAAAGAAAATAAAAAATTCTTAGCTTGGCAATTCTATATGCATCTTATTACAGAATTTTCCTCAAAGAAATTATCATGAATGCCTTGAAAAGATTCATGTAATCACTGCATTATTATTATTGAAAAAATCTGTAGAGACAAGGTCTCACTATGTTGCCCAGGCTGGTCTTGAACTCCTGGCCTCAAGTGATCTGCCCGCCTTGGTCTCCCAAAACGATGAGATTACAGGTGTGAGCCACCACACCAGGTCACTGCATTATTTTTAACAGCCCCCAAATATAAACATTTTTTTCTGAAAATATAATTGAAAAAAAAAATCCTTAAATTGTCATCCATTACTGAATTTGATCTTGGCTTATAAATAAGCTGGGGCCCTGACATAAGGCGCCCTGTACGGACGTGTGCCTCCGGTCAGATTGATGGTGGTATGTTAATACTGGTCACTGAAAGGCTTCATTACATCGACTAAGATCCTGCTTAACAAATAAAACATGTTCATTAACATGACGGTTCGTCACGGGACACAAGGATCTTTAACCTACTTTAATGTATCCAAATGAAGGTAGGGCTTGGCTGGACAGTTTTCTTGGCATGTCTATTTCTGGATTAATACGGTGTCGGTCAGGACAGATCCTTTTGTCTCTGAAAATAAAATGACGAGATTTCAAAATCATAAATAAATAACTGTTAATGTGAATTTTACTGCTTTCTTCAGAAAATTAATCTGCAACTTAAATCAGAGAACTTTTGTTCCAAACACCCTGTTGAATAAACACATTAAATATTTCAGATGACACTAACAATACATAAATAAATGGAAATGGATTCTACATTTTAATTAACACTGAATAAACTTAATGAGTTACTTCATTATTTCTCTAGCAAACATTTTTTTTTCTTTTAAGAGTTTGGTCTCGCCAGGCGCAGTGGCTCATGCCTGTAATCCCAGCACTTTGGGAGGCCGAGGCTGGTGGATCACGAGGTTAAGAGATCGAGACCATCCTGGTCAACATGGTGAAACCCCGTCTCTACTAAAAATACAAAACATTAGCTGGGCATGGTGGCGCGTGCCTGTAGTCCCGGCTGCTCGGGAGGCTGAGGCAGGAGAATTGCCTGAACCCAGGAGGCGGAGGTTGCGGTGAGCCGAGATCGCGCCATTGTACTCCAGCCTGGGTAACAAGAGCGAAACTCCGTCTCAAAAAAAAAAAAAAAGAGTTTGGTCTCACTGTTGCCCAGGCTGGAGTGTGGTGGCACAAGCGTGTCTCACCATAGCCTCTTAACTCCTGGGCTCAAGAGATCCTCCCAGCTCAGCCACCCTATTTCTCTAGACATTCTAAAATGCCTTATGTAAATGAACAAAATATACTTCCAAAATAAAGACTGAATTAGAAATACACTGTCGCAATACACAACAAAGGCCAATCGATCTCAACCTAGAAGCCGTTCCTTAACTACAATGCTACTTCCACATGGAGAAATAGTTGAAATTGCCATTTTAAAAGTCAGTATTTGAGGCCGAGCACAGTGACTCATGCCTGTAATCCCAGCACTTTGGGAGGCCGAGACAGCCAAATCACCTGAGGTCAGGAGTTCAAGACCAGCCTGGCCAACATGATGAAACCCCATCTCTACTAAAAATACAAAAATTTACCTACATGTAGTGCCTACTACTACATGTAGTCCCAGCTACTCAGAAGGCTGATACAGGAGAAATGCTTGAACCCAGGAGGCGGAGGCTGCAGTGAGCCAAGATGGTGGCACTGTACTTCAGCCTGGGTGACAGAGCAAGACTCTGTCTCCAAATTAAATAAATAAATAAATAAATAAGTCAGTCAGTCAGTCAGCCAGCATTTGGCTGGGGACGATGGTTCATGCCTGTAATCCCAGCACTTTGGGAGGTCAAGTTAGGCAGATCACTTGAGCCCGTACTTCATTATTTCTCTAGCAATTTTTTAAGAGTTTGGTCTCACTCTGTTGAGACCAGCTTGGCCAACATGGCAAATCCCATCTCTACTAAAAATACAAAAATTAGCTGGGTGTGGTGGTACACACCTGTGATCCCAGATACAGTACTTGGGAGGCTGAGCCTCAATACCTGCCTGAACCCGGGAGGCAGAGGTTTCAGGGAGCTGAGATCACTCCACTGCACTCCAGCCTGGGTGACAGAGCCAGAATCTTTCTCAAAAAAAAAAAAAAAAAAAAAAGGTCGGTATTCTTTAAACATAAATAGAAATGCTGCTAGTAACACATTTAATGTACCATAATTCAAAACCATTAATGTCAACAGTTACCTTCAAATTCAATCCAGCAGCTATGTATCAGACACCCATGCCCCAGCCTGAGCTGTCTGTGTATCAAGCAAGCAGTGGTGTTGTGTCTGGATAATGCAGAGGGGCCCCTTGACTGTCAAGGTACCCAAGCGGATACCTTGTTCTGCAAGCTGATTAACACAATCAATGCAGTCCCTAGCAAAATTCCTCAGGGTTTCTGGAAAAACTAACAGGCTTATTCTAAAATGTATGTGGAGGCTGGGTGCAGTGGCTCACGCCTGTAATCCCAGCACTTTAGGAGGCTGAGGCAGCCTCCTGGCCAACATGGTGAAACCCCGTCTCTACCAAAAATACAAAAATTAGCTGGGTGTGGTGGCGGATACCTGTATTCCCAGCTACTTGGGAAGCTGAGGTAGGAGAATTGTTTGAACCGAGGAGACGGAGGGTGCAGTGAACCAAGATTGTGCCACTGCACTCCAGCCTGGGTGACAGAGCAAGACTCCACCTCAAAAAAAATAAAATACAAAAAATAAAATGTATGTGGAGATGCAATTAATTTAAAATAGCCAAACAACCTTGAAGAGGACCAAGCTGGAGGCCTCATACACCAGCTCCTAAGACTTGCTCTAAGAAAGCGTACTGGTATAAAGTTAGACAAACAGACCACTGTAACAGAACTGAGTCCAAAAATAGACCACATGTGCCATCACCTGGCTTATGGCAAACACACTAATGCAGTGAGAACCAAATGATGTTTTACATAAATGATCCTGGAGAAAACCATCATCCATATGGAAAAAGCAAACCTTGCCCCCAGATCTCACATTACACATGTAATTTTTTTTGGGACACAGGGTCCCGTTCTTTTGCCCAGGCTGGAGTGCAGTGGCACAATCATGACTCACTGCATCCCCGACTTCCAAGGCTCAAGCGATTCTCCTACCCCAGGCTCCTGAGTAGCTGGGACTACAAGCATGTGCCACCACAGCTGGCTAATTTATTTGTTTATATTTTTTAAGGAGACTGGGTCTTCCTGTGTTGCCCAGGCTGGTCTTGAAATCCTGAGCTCAAGTGATCCTCCCACTTTAGCCTCAAAAAGTGATGGGATTATAGGTGTGAGCCACCATACCTGGTCATGTATAAAAACTAATTTAATATGAATTATAAGTGTATCTGTGAAAGCTAAAACTACAGAGCTTCTAGAAGTATAGAAGAATGCCTTCATGACCTTGAAATAGACAATTTTTTTTTAGATGGAATTTTTCTCTGTCATCCAGGCTGGAGGGCAGTGTAACGATCTCTCACTCTGCTGCCCAGGCTGGAGTATAGTAGTGCAATCTTGGTTCACAACAACCTCCACTTCCCAGGTTCAAGAGATACTCCTGCCTCAGCCTCCTATGTAGCTGGGATTACAGGCCTGTGCCACCACACCCAGCTAATTTTTGTATTTTTAGTAGAGACAGGGTTTCACCATGTTGGCCAGGCTGGTCTCAAACTCCTGGCTTCAACTGATCTGCCCACCTTGGCCTCCCGAAGTACTGGGCTAACAGGCATGAGCCACCATGCCCAGCTGACATAGGCAAATATTTCCTATATAAAAGCACACAAAAAGTAATCTGAAAATACTTCATCAAAATTAAAAATGACTGTTCATCAGCAGAGTGATGAATGCAGCAAACCACCATAGCACATGTATACCTGTGTAACAAATCTGCACGTTCTGCACATGTACCCCAGGAATTAAAGTATAAATAAATTAAAAAAAAAATAAAGAGTGAAAATCCAAGCCATAGCTTGGAGGAGACATTCTCAGTGCACGCATCACACAAAGCACTTGCGTTGAGTATAGATAAGCTACTCCCCCCACAAACCAAGAAGAAAAAGATAAGCACTCCATGTCAAAAGACCTCAACAGGCACTTCACAAAAAGAGAATGACCCACTGTCCCACAAGCCGATGAAAAGATATTCAACATCATTAATCATTAGAGAATGCAAATTAACATCAAAATGGTTTACCACTCCACCTCCACCAACAGTAAGCATTGGTGAGGGTGGCGGACAGCTCAGCGTCTCAGACAGCACTAACCAGACCAGAAAATGGCCAGCCGCTTTGGAAGAGTTAAATGCATGCCTACCCCATGACCTGCCACTTCTACTCCGGAGCATCTACCCAAGAGAAATGGGTGCACATTTCCACAAAAGACATGGCCAAAAGTGTTCCTAGCAGCTTCAAACATCATAGCCTGCTAGTGGAAACCACTCACATGCTCATCCACAGGAGAATGGATACACACACTGTGATACAGTCATACAGCAGAACACTGAGCTACAAAACAAATCACAGATACACACAACACAAACCAAAGTCACAGACACGAGGCTGAGAGAAAGAAGCCAGGCATGAAAAACAACAAACCACGATGCCATTTCTATGGCGTTCAAAACTGAGCAAAATTAATCAGCACTGACAGCCCTTCAGAGGGGAGGGCACCAGATGGGGATGAGAGTGAGGGAACCCCAGGGCCGCTCCCTCAGAGCAGGTGGTGGCTTCTACAGATACATGACAATTCACCACACCACAACAGCTGTGCACTTTACTGCAGATTATAGCTCAGTTTAATAAGAAACAAATCACTGGCTTACTTGCAAAAACCAAAAGCCTTCAGATATGGACAAAGAGGTCTTGTGGCTTTCTTATCTTCTTTGGCTTCCAGAACTCCTGCGGTGAACTCGTACAGCTCTGCGGGGACTTTGGCGTCCGCTCGCTCCAAGTAGCGCAGGATGCCCACTGCGTGGCTCGCATCTTTCTCTGTCAGCAGCAAGACAGATTTGGCTTTCTTATCTCCCTGTTCTGCAGGAGAACCCTAAAAAGTGGGGGTGAATAAAGGAAGTGGATCATCTACTCCAGTCTGAATGAGGAAACCTTGTGGACTCTGAGTTTATCATGACACAGAAGATGCCAGTGGAATATGGAAGAGAATAAAAATTCACCAAACCTGTTCAGTGTGAAAATGATCAGACATGCAATACAGGCGTCCACCAAAAACTTTTGGCGAGGCAGGGAAGCTGAAGTGAATCACACACGTGGCATCAGTGATGGCCAAGAGTGGGACGCAGTCATCTGTGAGGGCTGCAGAGAGGGAGTCCGACAGTGTCACGTGCGCTGAAGTTACCACACTTACTTTAACCAGCAGTTCCCACGGCCACACCGCAGTGCATTTCTGTATCACATTTTACTTTTTTGGATGCAGAGAAACTTCTCCCCCATTTTTTCCCCAAAATGCCGCAGCCCAGTGCTTAAAATCCAGAGAAAAGTGGTCTCCTTTTTAGCCTGAAAAATGTCTCTTATTACAAATCCAAGAAGCCCATATGTTTTCCACTTATTCTATGCATTTTGACTTTTCTACTTTTTCAGATGAAGTCTTACTCTGTAGCCCAGGCTGGAGTGCAGTGGCATGATTTTGGCTTACTGCAACCTCCACTTCCCGGTTCAAGCAATTCTCCTGTCTCAGCCTCTCAAGTAGCTGGGACTACAGGTGTGCACCACTGTGTCCAGCTAATTTTTGTATTTTTTTTAGAGATGGGGTTTCACCACGTTGGCCAGGCTAGTCTTGAACTCTTGACCTCATGATCCACCCACCTTGGCTTCCCAAAATGCTGGGATTACAGGCGTGAGCCACTGGGCCCGGCTCCACATTTTGACTTTTATCTTTCTAATATTAAATTTAGCAATAATGGATGACTATATATATGTCTCTTTATATATGACAGTGATCCTCAAACTATAACTCTAGGGAGAATATCTAGACTAATGGTGGCTGCCCACTGACCTGAGAGATTCACCTCAACATCAAAATCTTAGTGGAGATTTTCATTTTGAAATTAACATTGCTAATAAGCTGTCAGTAAACCTGGGGAATAATGAGAAATCTGAAGATGAGATATACAAATGAATTAAAGATAGGATTCCTAGTAGCTCAGCCTTCACCAAACAGAAGTAGAAATTAAAACACTTACCTAATATAATATGAGAGCCAGAACTTAACTTCTTCTTCCATTGTTCTAAAACATTTTGTAAGTTAAAAACCACTTCTTTATGCATCTTCAAGCAAAATATTGAACTGCTTTCTACTACCTAAAGATGAAACCAAATAAGCCAGGTCGCGGTCAGGGATATAGGCTGGAAGACTGCTCCATCAGTAATTGTCAGTGTAAAGCACTTTAAATTATCTGTGAGGGCACTACCTCACTGATCCCGTAATTCTTAAGAATGAATGAGATGATTGGAAACTTAAATATATTTCCAAAACTCGGTAGTTTAGGTCTAAAACCTTCCTCAAGTGAAATAAGCAATATTTTGCTAAAAATTTTGCTTGTTTTTAAAATAGCACAGCTATATCTGTGTGTGATGTGTGTGTGTATAGGTGTATAGGTGTGTGTGTGTATATATGTGTGTGTATGTGTATATGTGTGTGTATATGTGTATATGTGTGTGTGTATATGTGTGTGTATATATGTGTACATATGCGTGTATGTGTGTATATGTGTGTGTGTATATGTGTATATGGGTGTGTGTGTATATATGTGTGTGTATGTGTATATATGTGTGTGTATATGTGTATATGTGTGTATATGTGTATATATGTGTGTGTATATTTATGTGTATATGTATGTGTATATGTGTGTGTGTATATATGTGTATGTGTGTGTGTGTGTGGTGTGTGTATATGTGTGTGTATATGTGTGTGTATATGTGTATGTGTGTGTATATATGTATATATGTGTGTATATGTATGTGTGTATATATATGCATATATGTGTGTATATGTGTATATATATGTATATATGCGTATATATGTGTGTATACATATGTATATATGTGTATATATGTATATATGTGTGTGTATATATATGTGTGTGTATATATATGTATATATGTGTGTATGTATGTATATATGTGTGTGTATACATATGTATATATATGTGTGTGTATATATGTATACATATGTGTATGTATGTATATATATGTATATATATGTGTGTATGCATATATGTGTGTATATATATGTATATATATATATGCATATACACATATACATCAGATAGAAAGTCCTTGTTGACTGGAGTACCATATAACTATACCTTCTAGCTCATTGTTGCAGAAAGGCAGATGTACTACTAATTCTCATATTTGGTAGTTGGCTTCACTTCTACATTTTAGCACTAATATGTACAAAGTAAAACTGAATACATCTTTAGCCAATTTATTTGATTTTTTGGCTGTATGTTATCTTTTACTGCTATCTTCTCAATCTTTTTTATTTTTTATTTTTTTTGGTAGAAAAATGTTGCCCAGGCTGGTCTTGAACTCTTGGCTTCAAGCAATCTTCCCACCTCAGCCTCCCAAAGGGCTGGGATTTCAGGCACGAGCCACCTCAATCTTCTTAAACAGAGGGTACAGAAGATGTTTTCATGTTTATAAATTAACACTTTTAATGGTCCACCAAGATGAAACTGTTCTGCCCTGGAGAACGCTGCTGTAGGGGAAAGGCCCTGCCCACCCACCTGCTTCTCCCCAGCACCAGGCCTCCAGCCTCCATGCTCAGTGAGCAACCCCCCGCCTCTTCTGATTGATGTTAAATTTGTAAAACTGTACTTCCCTGCCACACAGTCAACTACCCCAGTAATTTTGTGATGACATGAGAGTCAACCAGTTGAAACAAACAGAACATTTTTATATGGGGATGGGCTCACCTTACACACTATTTCTGTTTCAGCTACAGAGCAGGTGAAGATTAAGGTCTTTTGTGCCTGACTTGGAATGAAATCAAGAGCTTGGAGTAAAGTAGAGGTTTTTTCACATTCTAGGCAAAGATGGACTACCTGGTAATGAAGTACAGAAACAATGTGACTTTTTAATGCCCTAGGTGCTCCAGATCCACTTTCCATAGCTGTTGGGATTTTAATAGAAAAGAATATATAAGAAATCAATAGAAATTTAAATATTCAACTATAATTGTATTTCATTCATAATTTATATATAAAATCAAAGCTGTAATTGTTTAATATTAAGCTATGAAATAAAAGTTGCTGGTGTTCATCAGCCCTCCAACAACACACATGCACACACAATTACCTGTTGGACGTTGCCGTAGAGAGCAGCCTCTTCCATGGCTGTGATCACGATGTAGGGATCATTCATGAACTCCTTGATGAGATGTTCTATATGTTTGTTCCAATGAACTCCAACTGCAACAATCTGATGTGGTGCAGATTCCCTTTCTTCAACTTCAATATTTTTTTTAAAGTTATCTAATATAGCAAACATCTGAAAAAATAGTATGATTAATTTCATTTATACTTCAGAAGAGTAAGAACTAGTGTGGCAGAACATAAAATGTAAGGGATTGTATATTTTCTGTTCTCAGAGTGGGGAAAGTCTTTCAGAAACAAAAGAAAAAGGTCGGGCATGGGAGCTCATGCCTATAATCCCAGCACTTTTGGAGGCTGAGGTGGGTGGATCACCTGAAGTCAGGAGTTCGAGACCAGCCTGGCCAACACGGCAAAACTCCATCTCTGCTAAAAGTACAAAAATTAGCTGGGCGTGGTGGTAGATGCCTGCAATCCCAGCTACTTGGGAAGTTGAGGACGGAGAATCGCTCGAACCCAGGAGGTGGAGGTTGCAGTGAGCCAAGATCACGCCATTGCACTCCAGCCTGGGCTACAAGAATGAAACTCCGTCTCAAAAATAAAAAATAAACTCACGCCTGTTATCCCAGCACTCTGGGAGTCCGAGGCGGGTGGATCACGAGGTCAAGAGATTGAGACCATCCTGGTCAACATGGTGAAACCCCGTCTCTACTAAAAATACAAAAATTCAGCTGGGCATGGTGGCGCGTGCCTGTAATCCCAGCTACTCAGGAGGCTGAGGCAAGAGAATTGCCTGAACCCAGGAGGCGGAGGTTGCAGTGAGCCGAGATCGCGCCATTGCACTCCAGCCTGGGTAACAAGAGCGAAACTCCGTCTCAAAAAGATAAATAAATAAATAAATAATTTTAAAAAATAAAAAAATAAAAGGCAAAAATTAAATAGGAGAAAATGTTAAGTTTAAAGTCAACAAATATCCTACAATCTCCATTATAAACAAAATTAAAGCACAAGCAACATCTTGGTGAATATGTATAACAAGCTAATAAGAGATTAACATTTTCGAATAAAAACTTTTAAAAACTGATCAGTAAAAGATGATCCTCCCAACAGAAAATAAGGAAATGAATAAGCAACTCAGAGTGGAGACAAATGATCGAAATGAATTAACTGAAAACTTAAAAAGTAATCAATGAAATATAAGTTAGGCTGACAAGATCGCACTGTTGGCCAATTAGACTGTAAGAGAAACCTGGGCCAAGCCTGCTCTCGAAGGGGTGTGGAGAGCCTGGCATGTGGCTGACGGGAGTGCAGGTCAGGTCATGCCTTCAGAAAGGACATTGCACAGAGCAGTATGCCTAGATATTAGTTTTTGTTTGTTTGTTTGTTTGTTTCTAAGACAGAGTGTCATTCTGTTGTCAGGATGGAGTGCAATGGCGAGATCTCGGCTCACTGCAACCGCCGTCTCCCAGGTTCAAGCGATTCTCCTGCCTCAGCCTTCCAAGTAGCTGGGACTACAGGCATGCACCTCTTCACTCACCTAATTTTTGTATTTTTAGTAGAGTGGGGTTTCACCATGTTGGCCAGGATGGTCTTAATCTCTTGACCTCATGATCCACCCACCTCGGCCTCCCAAAGTGCTGGGATTACAGGCGTGAGCCACCACGCCCAGCCTAGATACTAGTTTTATGAAAATCAGAACCTGAGATTTCAGATGAGTTTAGAACCCTGCATAGCCCCATAGTCAGTAACAAAGACTGGATTCAAAGCTGAGGCCAGTGTTACTCCCGGGTGCACACCCTTGGTGATCGCGTGACACTGCTTCCAAGAAAAGCCTTACAAGAGCTCACAGCCTCTGACCCATGAATCCCTTCCTAGGAATTCACCCTAAAGGAAACAAGCGCAAAAAACATTTATGTTCTTACGAATCAACAGGAAGTTGAGCAATTAAAAAAAAATTCATGTTCCGTAGCCACACACATATACAAATTATGTCCAATGTCCAAAATCAAGACAGTTTTAAAACAAACTCTGTGATGTCCACAGAACTGAATACCATATGGCCAATAGCCACCAGGCTGTGGAACAGGAAGCGGTGGCCCTCATGCTGCTGCGCCCTGCACAATGTGGGCTACAAAACAGCACCCTGATCTTAGATTAACTGTGTCTATCAACAAACACAGGAATTCAAAGAAAAAGAAGCCAGTACTCCAAAACAGGAAGAAGGATCCCTTCTACGACTATGGCTGTGGGGACTGCGTTTTTCAAGTGCTCTTCTCCAAGTCTTAAATTTTCTAAATAAAAATCATTGCTTCTGTAATCAGAAAAATTTTAAGCATTTTAAGAAATCACTCGGGGAAAGAATGTTTGCTCTTCAGAAAGAATTTTAACATTGGGAAGGAAATTTCAGATAACTATTCTTTCTTCTGAATTACAGAAATTAAAGCAAGAAAAAGTTTTAGATTCACCAACGTATGCCCCAACCAGACTCTTTTCCTTCTTCTTGCCGGCAGTTAGCACGTTAATCACATCTCTCTTCTGAGCAATGAGGACCTTAAGCCACACTCACCTGTTCGTTGGCTTCCAAGAATAGCACCTCCACCTCATCCAGGACCAGGTGGCAGAGCCTGAGGAACAGCAGGCTCTGACAGGCGAGAAGCCTCAGCAGGCTGTGTGGGGTGGTAACAATCACATCACCTGCGTTTAAAAGAAAAAGTGAACATTTTCAATTTTCCACAGGTTGTTCTAAGATTTCCTCTGCTAACAGTCCACATACTTTCTAGAAAGGCCTTCCAATGAAGCAAAACACTGTTTCTCTCCTCAGGTGGGTGGGTTTTAGTCAACACCATGTGCCCAGCATCTAACAAACAGCTTAAGTGTTCAGTAAATAGTTGATAAATGAATGAAGTGACATAGTTTTCTCAGTGAAGTAGACGTCAGTCAAGATCAAACCTTCATAATCAATATTGTGGGGAGCTGACAGGCAGGTCTGGACTAGTGACTGTGAGTGCGTTATCACACAAGCCACATAACTGCGGACCCAGGCCTGCCTGGCCAGGCTCCACTGTCTTCTGTAGAGAAACCCAGCTGCTTGAAAAGGATACTTACAGCCCTTTGGAAGCTTTGTTTTTTTGGCTTCCTCTTTGTGGAGCCCAATTGTTAATAGCACAGGATGAAGAGGCCTGGAGGACATGCTGTATTCTCCCAATAATTCAAAAATAAATTGGGCCTTCTTCCATCCAGGGCACACAATGACTGCGAGAGGCTGCAAAGACACATTCAAATGACTGCAGACAGTAGTTAGGAATTCAGCATCCGCATGTGAAACATCAAGAACATCTCTTTGTACGGAAGCAGCGCTCCCTAAGTTTCTGCTATCATCATCATATAGGTCAGAAAAGTTACAGTATAATTTCATTAAAATAGATTTAGACACAGGCTGGGTGTGGTGGCTCATTCCTGTAATCCCAGCACTTTGGGAGGCAGAGGAGGGTGGATCACAAGGTCAGGAGATCTAGACCATCCTGGCGAACATGGTGGAGTCAAACCCTGTCTCTATTAAAACTACAAAAAATTAGCTGGGCCTGGTGGCATGCGCCTGTAGTACCAGCTACTCAGGAGGCTGAGGTAGGAGAATCGCTTAAACCTGGGAGATGGAGGTTGCAGTGAGCAGAGATAGCGCCACTGCACTGCAACCTGGGTGACAGAGCAAGACTCCGTCTCAAAAAAAAAAAAAAAATACGACTCAATGTGTCTAAATCTATTTAGATTGAGACTCTCAGAAAAATATGACTCAATGTGTAGATTTAGGCACATTGAGTCATATTTTTCTGAGAGTCTCAATGAAGTACATCACAAGTATTCATTTATTTGGCTCTTAAAACGCTCTCAAGGGGCAGAGGCTATCACTGCTTCACTTAGGTGAGGAATTTGAGGCACAGAGAGGTGAAGTCAGTTGCCCGAGGTTGCACAGCTAATACATGATAGCAATAGGATTTGAACCCAAGCAGTCTGACTCCAGATCCCCTGCACAGATCCTAAGCACAAGAATGAACTAAATGCCTCCTGAAAGTGGCCTTAAAAAAGACGAACCCTGGCTGGGCGCAGTGGCTCACACCTGTAATCCCAACACTAGGAGGCTGAGGCGGGTGGATCACCCGAGGTCATGAGTTCGAGACCAGCCTGACCAATATGGTGAAACCCTGTCTCTACTAAAAATACAAAAATT